TATATTAACACATAAATATGATGCTTATGCAGTGTTTTAGTAAACGATTTACAGTGTAACACCGAGGGTGTTACAACAGGTCACCAACAGGAGAGTGCCAACTGGCTTTCCCCTCATTAGGATCTTGTAGTTGAGTTACATACAGTAATCCAAGTAATAAACTAACATGTGATCTCGTGTATAATAGTTCAAATACAACTCACAACAAATCTAAGAATTCCCAAAATATCTCGTTGTATTCGAATAGAAAGGTACAACTATAAGTTTGACTCCTTTCTAAAGTTACTCTCTTATATTCAATTGTTGACAACCATCAGAGTTAACTTGCAGCCCAAATTAGATTCGCCCGATCCAATAACTGCTAGTCGTCACCTTGTCGAGCTTGGCTTGTCTACACACACAGGGAATTTACCTGCAAAATAACTTAACGACAACACCATGAGTACATTTCGTACTCGCAGGGCTTAATTCCAACATATAGATATTTGGTGGATGCAAAGGGTAAAATCAGGCGTTCGTATATTTGCAGAAAAGCAATGGCGTAGGTTAAAGAGTAAGATGATCATGATGCATGGTCAAAATGACTCAATCGATGTTGGTGTAAAACAAGTAGTGAATAACATAGCTCAGGTGATCAACGGCGGAGTTGAGTTCACCTCAACTCAAAAGTGAAATCTCCCACACTACAATGGGACTAGAAGTAGGAACAACCAATTCTGTCCCGAGGGACTTCAGGCTTTTAATAGACTCTGCGCAGAGGGTACAACTGTACCCACATGGAGAATGGGACGAACCACCATACCTCATGCACTAGAGATAAGGGTTGCCTCACGTCTCCAACCTTTCCCTAATATGGCCAAAATGTCAATGGAAGGTTTGATTGGTTCCCAGGTAATGCTACCATGATCTACCCAGCGCCACCTTAGTGCCAGTTCAACGGACAAACCGGTCGTGATCAGGTACTCAGCTTACCACCCCCAATGAACGGTCCTTAATCCTCCACGAGCTGTCACTTGAGATCCCACACTCATAGTGACCTACCCCTCGCTTGAGTGAAAAGATCAAACTGACCACCAAGGCAAGTTATCAAATTGGAGTGTGTCCTTAGTCTAGATTAGAGAGCAAGGTACGTTGTCACCCTTGCAAGTTTTAGTAGTTAATTATCCTAGTGTAATATCCTACACAAGCGAGAGTGAGTTCCCTTCTCAAACTCGTCTTCTACCGTGGCTAACAACTAAGTATAGCATTAACGGATTCCCGACCTAGATGAGAGTAATAAAGGGCTCTAGCTTAGTGTGAGATTCTAAAGGGTGAAACAATTTTTAGTTGAGTTACAAAATAGGGTTTTGATGCAATGCACAACTCATAATGAGACAAATAGTTCATATCCAAAATAGGGCTTATAGTAATGGGGTGCCTGCCTGATTATGCTGCCGTCAATCGAAGCTGGCGATGATGACCTATACACGATCCTCGTGCATTAATTGAACCAGAAAGAGACAAGACTAGGATTGAGGATAACCGGTTGATGAATCCAGAGACGTGGATAAAGATTGAGGTCGAATTGAGAGCTTAGAAAGAGATACTAAGATGGCTCTACTATTATGCTACTGTGTACATAGGTCACTAGGGTTCTCACAAGAGAGGTTAGGGTTCTAGACTTCATGTGCTCTCTCTGTTATTCAGCTGACACTCCGGTACACCTGGCTGACACTCCACTGGAACAACTCTAGGGTGGTCAGACTTTGTGCTGACTCTAGTTAGGATTGATGGACACTCCGTTGCAGTATCGGAATGTTCTGGTGGTTTGGGACTTAGGCGATTTGGGTGTTGGTTCATGAAGGATGCTCTGTACCAGTTGACGGACACTCCATGGATACTAGGGATGTTTTGGGTTGGTAATTAATTCATCTCTATAAATCAACAGACACTCCATGAGGACTCACGGACACTCTGGTAGAGATTGGGTTCTTTTGGGTTTCTCTAGGGTTCGGTTTATAATTTGATGGACACTCCATCGGTTCTGACTGATGCTTTGTGGAATTATAGCGAAGCATGTTACGTCTCTGGCTATTGGGTTTTGGGATTGATGGACTAAACGTTGATCCTGACAGATGACCCGTTGGCTGGGCGATGGAACATATGTTCTTGCTTTCTTGGATAAGCTTAGGTGATACAACTCTAGATGTGGGGAGTTAGGCTCCATGCATGTGCAAGATATTCCTAGAAATGTTTAGGTAGCTTGCTAGGCTTAAGATACCTAGGGTTTTGGCTTTGGTTAACAAGTGTAACTAGTGATTCACTAAATAACCTTGTAAACCTAGAAGAGAGAGAGATAGAGAGATTAAGATTGAGCTTGGTAACTTAGCTTGGGGATTTTGGTGAGTCCCTTGCCACCAAGATCAGAGAATAACACTTGAAGATCCATTCTTCCAAACCTCTAGGATAAAATCCAAAGTTTCTTGCCAAAAAATGTTCATAAACCAAATGAGAGATTCTTGAAGAAGAATTTGAGAGGATTGAGTTGCAGCAACACTTGAATCTTACCTTTGAGGTGATGAAATATCATCCAACACTCATGATCCATCCATGCAAAGAGAGGAACTTGGGTTAGGGTTTGAGGATTGAGCTCAAGACAATGAGAAGAGAGGGTTTCTTGAGCTAACCATGGGATAGGAGATGGATGAAGTTCTTGATCTTGTACCATGGCTGATCTTGTTGCTCTTGGTAAGCTTGATCCATCTTGTCTTCATCTTCTCCACTTTCTCACTCTAGTTCATCCTTTCTCCTTCTTGTTCTTCATTCTAGGGAGAGAGAAGGAGTGAAGGGAATGAGATGTGGAATGGGGAGAGCTAGGGTTCAGCTGTTGGGAAATATCCCATTTTGAGCTAACATGTGGGCCATGCCACATAAACGAAGGATAGCTCATTCCCACTCAATCTGATGTCTCTGCAGTCCTGATGGACTATCCGATATTCTAGGCGGACGATCCGGTGAATCACTGTCTAGCCCATTTGACTTAGGAATTGAGGGTTATGACATTGGGGTCAATCACTAGTCCAACTAGTGCTTCTCTTTTCTTAAGAGAGATAAAGATCCTTTGTCAAACTACTCGAGAGATACATTGTCGATATAGATGATAAGTTGATTTGGTTTGACCATACATTGACTTGCTTGTAAGATTGCGTAACAAACTCATGAGTTGAAGCAATGCTTTATCCAAAACTTCTCATGTTTGAAGTGTTTTCAGTCAAGGTGCTTGAGAAATGAGGTTGAGGTGTCATTCGGGAGGTGTCGGTTTAAGGTCACAAATTGGAATGACGTTGAGTCGTTACATAGCTCATCAACTAGATCAAACACTTGGGTTCACATTCTCATGAACAAGTCATATTGTACCACTTGAAACAATCAATCAAGCAAACAAAAGTGTTAGAATATGAACTTAAACCTTTGATTTGCAATGAATGTTCTTAAGTTTCTCATATCATGTCTATATTAAGGTATGTATGCTCAATGTACAATAAATTTTACCTTTGCTTTTGGTCGGAGGATGGTTTAGTCATATATGGGATGCTCTCACATGTTGAAGAAGTCAAGAATATTCAACTCATTTTTTAGCTTGCTAAACTTTGCTTCATCCAATGGCTTTGTAAATATGTCCGCTAATTGATCATCAATGTCCACTCTCTCGATCTGGATATCCCCTTTTGCTTAGTGATCTCTTATGAAATGGTGGCGAATATCAATATTCTTGGTTTTTGAGTGTTGAACCTAGTTGGTGGCAATCTTAACGACACTCTTGCTATGGCACTTGATGAAATTTGATTCCAAAGTCCAATAAAGTAGCCTCCATCCAAAGTAGTTGTGCACAACAACTTCTCCCGGAGATGTATTCCACCTCGTCCATTGATAATGCAACCGAATTTTGCTTCTTAGAGGACCATGATACAAGTGACCTTCCAAGCACTTTACATGTGTCCGATGTGCTCTTCCTGTCAACCTTGCACCTGGCATAATCCTAATTTGAATATCCAATTAGCTCAAATTATGCACCCCTTGGATATCATAATCTAAAATTCGGTGTATGCTTCATGTACCTCAATGTTCTTTTCACTGTGGTCAAATGCCATTCTTTTGGAGAGGCTTGAAATCTTGCACACATGCATACACTAAATATGATATCCAGTCTTGATGCGGTCAAATAGAGTAAGCTTCCAATCATTGACCTATACAACTTTTTATCAACCGGTACTCCATCCAAATCCAAGTGCCTATTTGTGGCCACATGTGTCTTAATTACCTTTGCATCTTCAATGTTGAATTTTCTGAGCATGTCCTTCAGGTACTTCTTTTGACTAACAAATGTGCCATGCTTGAGTTGCTTGATTCGCACTCTAAGAAAATAGCTCAGATCTTCAATCATGGACATCTCAAACTCTTTTGTCATTATTTTTTCAAACTCTTTGTAAAATTCTTGATTTGTTGACCCAAATATGATATTATCAACATATATTTGACAAAACAAACAAATGACTCCCAATTATTTTGCTGAAGAGTGTAGTGTCAACCTTCCCTACGTTGAAACCCTTTGAGAGAAGAAAATCTCTCAACCTCTCGTACCGTACTTATGAAATTACAATGACAGAACTTATGCGTAAAAGAGAGCCTGTAAAATTGAATCTCAAATAAAAAGAGAGAGCCTGTAAAATTGGAGATTTATTTCCAATTTTTGTTGGAGCTAGATTTTAAACTATAACCGTTTATCTGGTTTTACGGAAGGTTTTAGATAAGCTGCTGGAAAAATCGGGAATGCGAGCCTCAAAACCAGCATCAGCTTTCCAGATTCCCACTCCGGATACTGAAACGACGTTCTGGTTTGCGAATTGTAAGCCTCGCAGGCCGCGGTCCCGCAGTATGTGCGCCTATTAAATCGGCCATTGCTCACTCCAGCGAACGGACGGATCGAAACCCCTCGCTTTCTCGCCTGCTTCTCAAACGAAATGGCAGCCGGATCTTCCAGTTCCAGCGCCTCCCTCGTCGCCATCGTCGACGACTTCTACTTCTCCGTCCTCGCTCACGGGCGAAACGACGGCGGCGCCGCCGGGGACGACGAGCTCTTCCCGATATCTGACGAGAAGTACGCCACGGAGCTCCAGCTACAGGAGGTGATCATGTCCTCCGCCATCGCGGCCACGGCGCGCTCCCGGGTCGCTCCACCTCGCAGCAGCACAGTTGCTACTGGCAACAACAACGCCGCCGCCGCCGCCGCAGCAGCAGCAGCGTCGGGTCGCGGTCACGGCAAAGGTAAGTGCGCCTACGCCTCGTCGTCCCGGCCGTCCGTCGCCGACGCCGGGACGCTCGTGTTCTGCAAGATCTGCATGGACGTGGTGCCGCCCTCGGACGCGCACCACGCCAGCCGCGGCTGCGCGCACGCCTTCTGCGGCGGCTGCCTCGCGGGCTACGTGGGCGCCAAGATCCAGGACAGGATCGCCGACGTCAGGTGCCCCGAGGAGCGGTGCGGCGGCGTGCTGGACCCGGAGCTCTGCCAGGACATCCTGCCCCGCGAGGTCTTCGAGCGGTGGGGCGCCGCGCTGTGCGAGTCCATGCTGCTGGGGGCCAAGAGGACCTACTGCCCCTTCAAGGATTGCTCGGCGATGATGCTGGTGGACGACGACGGCAGCGACGTCGCCGAGTCGGAGTGCCCGAGCTGCCGGCGGCTCTTCTGTGCGCGGTGCAACGTGGCGCCGTGGCACGCCGGCGTTACCTGCACCGAGTACAGGAAGCTCCGGAAGGGGGACAGGGGCGTCGAGGACATGATGCTCCTTGAGATGGCTAAGGGGAAGAAGTGGAAGCGGTGCCCCAAGTGCGAGTTCTTCGTGGAGAAGCGTGATGGCTGCCTGCACATTACTTGCAGGTACTCCGTACTCCCTCAGTCCCTCGTCACAAAACAAATGATTTTATAACATTTTGTTCTAAAATACGTACCTTCTCACTCCTCGATTCTTTTTTCTTTTATTTTCTTAATTTATCTTTTTGCTTTCGAAGACATCTCTATCCCTCTTCTTTGAGAGATATTTTTGTCATTTGACTTTAGCATTGTTTCTACGAGAGATTTCTACAAAAGATTCTAAAACGTCGTCTAATATGGGACAAAGAAATAAATGTTTTACTGTAGTACTACTGTTTCCTTTTCCGCTGATTCACATGTGCACTGCAGTCAAACTGAATTCTGAATTGCACTGTAGCTGTAGTATTGCTTTTTCCTTTTTGTTCAATTATTACGAAGTGCACTACAGACTGCAGTGCAAGAAATGTTAAGGGCCTGTTTAGTTCCACCAAATTAAAAAGAAGATTCCTCGTCACATCAAACTTACGATATATGTATGGAGTACTAAATGTTGACGAAATCAAAAACTAATTATACAGTTTAGTTGTACTTTACGAGACGAACGTTTTGAGTCTAATTAGTCAATGTTTAGACAATTATTACCAAATAAAAACAAAATATACTGTAGCTACAGTACCTTCACCAATTCGGACGGCACCGAATCAGGCACCAACTAAACGTGGCCTAAAAGTCTTTTTGAATGAAGAAAACAAATATGAGAATTGTTGAATTAAGGTCTTCTTTTGCAGGATTTTTATGGTAGCCTCTCCATCAATTTTAATCAAAAGTTCTAACTTGAAAACAACTTTAGAAACCAAAATCAAGACAAAAATGAATAAGCTGAAGTCATTATTGGCAAGAAGCTGAAACCATAAAAATGCAGTTTCTCCCCATTTACAACTTTTAGATCAGAAGCCCAAATCGTACTATAGAGGCCCTAAAACTGGGTGGTCTCGTCAATAAAAAAAATATACACTTAAATTCGAATAGTTTAAGACTCAACCTCCGTCAGTGGTTGGATTGAGCTATATATATATGATCGTTTTCTGTCGAGATCTTTTTGGAGCATTGTAATTTTCTCGAATCATTTCCTTCTCTTGAAAATATTCTTTTGACCGAAAATTGGATGGTATCGCGATTTTGCAGGTGTGGTTTTGAGTTTTGCTATGGATGTGGCAAGAGGTGGGGGATTACTCATTCTCGTTGCACAACAACGTGAGATTCGATGGATGCCATCTCGGACCTAAGTATAAGGCTAGTGTTAATAGAGGTTTCATGTTCTAGTTTTCAAGACTTGTGTATTGAAAATAATGCTGATTGATTTTATCCCTACAAAACTTATTTTATTTTTATGAAACTTTTGACCATCTCTTTATTAATATTATGCCATATCAACATATTTGCTAAATTGATAAGTTTACTTAATGCCTATAGAACTCTTGCAAAAATGCCACCGAGACTAGCTTAAAACAAAAAAATAGTGGTTTTCAATTTAATAATCTGATGTCATATCCCAACTAGTGCTATCTAATACCTATCTACTAGAACTTAGTCTACAGTAGGGAGCGACGACCCCTCTCCTTAGGGCGTCCCCAACAGCTAGCTATTTGGCTACCTATTCTGACGTGAACAAGAAAAAAGTAAAAGAGGGAGTAGCCACTAGCGACCAACAAATAACTGATCTAGTGTAATAATCTGAGAGAGGAACATATGGGTCTAATAATATATAAAAAAATAATAATATATAAAATAGTCTTTGTTTTTGTCTCACCTCCACGTAAGCTAGCTACGTAGCTAGCATCATTGCACGCCCTTGTCAATTTCCTCGGCCCCTTCGGCTCCGGCCATCAATCGACAACAGATTTGAGGGTCCTAGCTAGTAATAGCCTACTTTAGGTTTTCTCATGGAAGTTTTTTTTGGCATGGGTACTACATTCCTTATCATTCCCACTATTGAACTCGATTCCTCCAGCGGATCATGACTAAGGCATGTTTTAGTCTGCTTGTATGTGCTTGGGCTAGTGTCAGGACTAAGATATGTGTTTGTCCGCTTTTATGTGCTTGGGCTGGTGTCTTGCTTTTACCCTGTTGGATTTTGGATGTTGGGGTTATTGTTGGGTACATTATCGACATCAAGATCCTTCACCTTCGTGGTGTTCTTTTACATTCCAATCCTAGCTTCCTGCAGTTAGGGTTGGATGTGTGTGCACTCCCCAATTTTGGGTTGTTTGGGCTATTTCCTCTATCAACGCATGTGTTGGCGCTGGATTTGTCCTCCGGTTTTAGTAGGGCCATGATTGATGTATATACAACGTATTTGATGTGTCTCCACCGAAGGTGCTGCCTCATGTGATGTTTAAACGACATTGCTAGCGCCCGCGTCCGACACCCGTGCCTGCACCCCGACCGACCTGACGTGGCGTCTGCGCCCACCCAAACCCACACGTTGTTTGCGCCCCCGCCTGACCCCACGCGGCGTCTACGCCATGCCCGACCCCTCGCGCCCCCTCCAGCAGCTATAGCAGGCGGGTCACATTGCAACATGTGCGCCCCCTCCGGCAGCTACTTTTAAAACATCTAGACACAACAGTTGCAACATACGTCTGAAGACAGATGAAACGCTTGAAACATGACTCTAAAACAATTGCAAAAACACCTAAAAATCATTGCAAACATATGCAACATCCAGATAAAACACTTACAACATACGTTTGAAAAATAGATAAAACATTGTGAACAGAAGTTTGCAACATAAGTGTACAACCATTGCAACATATGCAACATCCCGATCTACTTTTACAACATCCATACGAAACATTGGCAACATACCTCTAAGACATCTGAAACACTTGAAACATACACTTACACGCTTGCAATATGTGTTTTTAGCGCAACATCTACCTGTTGCTTGGACGAATGGAGGCTCGTCAATGCGGAGCTCGATGCCGTGGAGTAGTGTGCAGCTTTGGTTGAGAAGACCACTCCGGTGGAGAAGGAGGCCGACGCGGTGGAGAATGGCACGACGGGCAGATGGCCTGGTGGAGAGGAATAAGGATGGCGGGAGGCGGCACTGGAGCATGGTGGAGAGAGAGGACGATGGCTGGTCGGGTGCGGTGGCGTGGCGGTGTGGTCGCGCCGCGGTGGGTTGTCTTGCTGGAGCACACGTGCGGCAGTGCGGACACGACGGTGGTGCAGTGAACGAAGAGGAACAGACGACGGGCTCATGAACAGATAAGATTAGGGGCGAGCGGATATATAAGTGGAGATTTAGGCCGTTTGGCTGATATCGTGGCCCATCAATAGCCGTGTCCAGACGGACGTACAATTAGCATAGAAATACCGATGTTTAAACGATGACGTGGACATCTTCAGATGAGATATCTCTGGAATGAAGCTAGACGGAGTTTCTCTTTCTCCGGCTAGGTGTGCCGGATCTCTGGATAGGTGCAATTGATTTTCTCCTCTTTGTAAATACATATATGGCAGCACTATGGGAACGAAAAAAATTGAACCTACGTGATGTAATCGTAGTACATTTTACTTGATTTATGACAATACTAACCAAGAGCAAATATTGTAATTTCATTTATCTTTTTTATGTGTGATTCGTTTTGTATCAAGAACTAAGCAGCAATAAAATGGTATACAAAGATTTTTCTTCCTACTTGATCATGGTTACGTGCGTGTATTAAATAGTTTATGGATTTGTACAAGCTACTATTTGTTTAGTTATCCAGCTCCAACAATCAACTTTTAAGCTAGCTCTAAACATAATTTTTATATTTTAACAGAAGAGAGAGAAAAGCTAGCTCTTAATCAAGAGCTAAGTCTTACACACATTTTAATATTATGTGAGAGTGTCATGTGGGACTATCCATATTAAAAGTTATGTGTTAAAAGTTAGCACTATTAGATAAGTTGTTTTAGAGCTCGTAACTAGCTCTAACCATTGCGGGCACCCGCAACGGTAAGAGTCAGTTGCTAGCTCTAAGTCAACCTCTCTAATAGTGTTAGCTTTTAGCAATGGCTCATAGTATAATTAGTCTTACATGATACTCTTACATAGTTTTTTAAATGTGTGTATGAGCCTAGCTCTTGATCAAGAGCTAATTTCTCTCTCTCTCTCTCTTGTATTAAAATATGAAAAAAAATGCTTAGAGCTAGCTTATGAGTCACTCGTTACGATGCCCTTAAGCATTTATTTTGGACCTATCACATGTAGAGAGGCAGAGAGTTTGAGATAGAAGGACATTTGAGCGAGTGTTAGGGCCCAGCGCATAGGGCTACTGAAACTCTCCAAGGGCACGTACAACCAGTCTTATTGTGCCGTCTCCCGTGCGTGTATTTTGAAAAAACAACCCCGTCTCACGAGTCGACGCTCTGCTTGTCGCCTCACGAGTCGACGACGAGGACGCGTGCTCCAAGACGCTTTGTACGGGAGTGGTACCTTGAGTCGACGTGTGGCAGAACCATCCGAAATAGCGTACTTACGGAGGCGCTCGTCTTCCACCAGACACTAAGCACCCCGAAAGCAACTATAGCGAGCGGTATCCGTCGGACACACCCCGAGGGAGAACCCAAAAGATCCACATTTTTCCCAAGGATCCAATAATGAGAACGAGTTACAACACAAGTCCATTTCATACATTAGAGTTTATTAAAAAGTACATTATTATAATACCAAATACAGAGTGCGGAATGATAAACAGCGGAATATTAAAAAGATAACATCTAGCGATAAGGTAGCGAGGATTTTCGTCTGAGCTCACCAGAAGGATCCTCCACACAAGGTACTCCTCAAGCATCACCTACAACAGGGGTAAATAAACCCTGAGTACACAATGTACTCGCAAGACTTACCCGACTAGTGGGAATAATTTTCCGACTCCAAGGGATATGATAGGCTTTATGGTTTGCTGATTTTCTTTAGTAGAAAGCAATCCTAATAGTGAGTCCTTATTTATGTATTATTATTATCAGCCGTATTAAGTTATCACCTAGCCAGTCTATATAAGCACCTGTCTACTTTCAAGCAAGGGTTGAACAATCAGTTATATTTCTTCTTCTTTCTCCACTTTCAGTTCTTACTACGGTGCTAAACCGCAGACAAACCGTACCGGATTCCTCGGTGATTCGCGAATCAATGTGCCCAGCTGGGTGCCCCGAAAACACACGCTCCGCTTGTACCCCAGGCACAAGCAGGACTAACCCATCACCCTCCTGTCCCGGGTGTCCAGATCCCCATCCAAACTTGGACTCCAAGCCCCCACATCCTGAGTCCCGAACTCAGTGTGGTGCAAGGACCTTCACCACCTCATCTTCCCATCAGTCGGTTCGGAAAGAGCCGGATCCGCGACAAGAGAGCAACAGGCCTTCCCTGCGCCCATACCCAAGTATGTGCTCGGGACAATAATCTGTGACTTGCCTAGAGTCATATGCAACGACCGGTTCTTAATCAACATAGACAGGGAAAAAGTGTAACCGAGCTATGTCCTGTTGGCCGCAGGACACAACCCTTTACACCCACCAATACCCAAACCATATCCCTACCCCGTCATCATTTACCTTTCCATCATTTTATCACCTATTTGAGAGTAACGGCAGATTACTCACATTACCGACATCCTGAGCATAGCAGCTACTCGACCTATACTAGTAGGACTCATGAGTAGATATATTTATGCATGTAGTTTCCATAAAATGCCTGTAACGTAAATGCACATCATACATATATTCAATGATCATTTGAAAATAGGGGTTATGCACCGGGGCTTGCCTTGGGTAGGTGCCAGGTCAGCAAGGTCAGTACCAATAGGCTCCTAGGCTTCCTCCTGTGCGAAGATCTCCTCCTCGTATTCCTCGATAACCTCATCGTATTCCGGCTCGCCGACGGACACGAAATCTACCAGTTCGTGATCTACATGAAATGATGATGCAATGATTAACACTACGACAACATCAACTCTAAATTTAAAAGTACATCTATTAAACTACTAAGTGAGATCTACCCACTAAAGGCTAAGCTACGTATTGTCACTACTAACAAGTATTAAATATGGCATACATTCTTATAGCAACTACCAATGTTCTTACTCCGAACGCTAATTTACACTATATGCGATAAAGCAAAGGTAATAGCCACTCTATCTAACAACTCGTTCTAAGGCTACAAAATTTACAGCAAGCACATAATATCCTAGTGAACATACTGTAAAATTT